AGCTGGATGTGGTTGGTGCCTGTGGCCCCAGCCCTCTGGAGTTGAGGCAAGAGGATCACCAGTTCAGTCTCAGCGTGGGCACCTGAGCGTCTTAGTGAGACCCTGTCTCAAAATAAAAAATGTAAAAAGCTGGGATGAACCCCTGTGCAAAGGCCCTGGGTTCAACACCCTGACTGAATTAAAAAAATTCATTGAGCACCAAGCTTGCTGGTGACAGGGGTGTCTGGTAAAAAGGCAGACAGCTATCCTGCCCTCGTGACATGGCCATTTCTGATGGTGGCCATGGAAGAATAGTGAGGAGGCCCCGTAGGTGATACCTCCTCCCTGCGCTAGCTGCCCGCACAGCACTCAGCCCAGGCAGGCACTGGGTGCTGTCCTGAGCAGTGGGGAGCAGCAATTCCTTCCCACATCCTAGGAGCACAGTGACCTCCTGCAGGGTCTCAGAGCTGCTGAGAGTCCATTTCAGAAAATGACAAAGGAAAGAGAAGGCCCAGGGATTTAACTCAGTGGCGCCATGCCTGCCTCACAAGTGCAAGGTCCTGAGTTCAATCCCAGCCTCTGGTCTGTCACTGAAGAGGGTGACATCCAGGTGACAGGCCTACTTTCCCTGTAGGGAGGGGATCTCCAGCATTCTCTCCACTGCCAAGTGCTTGATTTTCACCCATTCACTATGATTCAGACCAGGCATTGAGTCCCTTCAGGGTGACTGGGACCAGAGCCTAAGTCTCCCTTCTATGACCAGAAAGCTTACATGAGTGAGTGATCTACCCTGGAAAACCAGGACTGTGGATAACATGAGAAGTGTATCAAGGACCCATTTGAGATACATTCTGTGGCTGGAGCTAAATTCTTTACCTGAGTTCTCTCATTTGCTTTACTGCCCCAATAAACACAATTACAACTGAGAGGCTTCTTCACATGGGGAAGGTGTGAACTGCCCAAGACCTCTCAGGTTGTAGCTGGAACTTAACTGTGGCCTGCCTAGGACACGGACTCCAACCTAATGCCCTCACCTGTCCTACACTCTAAGGTTTTGAGGAAGCCCATAGTGAGTGACCTTTGACCCAGGAAATGGTTCCTCTCATGGCAGTAGTTCTTCTAAAGTACCAGTTAGGATAATGACTTTACCTGCACAGAACATCAGCCATCCTATGGCAAAAAAGAATATATGCCCAGACATTTGCAGCTGTGAATGTTTCTGCTAAAAAGACCTCTCTTTCACCCTACACTTCAAAGTTAGACCCAAACGCCACCCTGTATGACAAGTGGAGAAGATGAATCCTATTAGAGGGCCAGCAAGTACATGGGTAGTAATTCATACACGCTACCCAATCATTGGGAAGTTTTATATTTTTTTCTTTTTGGTCCCACTGGGGACTGAACTGTGATCGTCATCCCAACTCCATCTTCAGCCTCACCACCACTGTGTGCTTCTGTTTGGACAAAGCACCCGATAGCCACATCCTGTTTGGTGGTAACTGGCTGCCAAATGTCACAGGATGTTTTGTAGCTCACCTAGTGAGTGAAACTGCCTGGTGCCCCCACTAACCTGGCCTGGTTCTGCTTCTGTAAAATTCTGCTTGCTCTCCCTCTGAGCCCTCCCCAACTGAAAGGGTGGTTTAAAAGGAGAAATCAAACTGCTTCCTGGCCTCAAGAGTTATTTCTGGGCACCAGCCCCTCTCGGATGCTGGTTTTAAATAAAACGGACTCAAATCCGGTGCAGAGTGTGGCCCATCTCTACAATTCCAACTCGCTCCCCTATAGCAGAACCTAGGAGCCCTCTCACCTTGAGCTACATCCCAGCCCTTTTAATTTTGCGATAGGGACTAGGTCACTCCGGTGCCCCGGCTGTCCCATAACTTGCCATCTTTCTGCCACTTGCGCGTAAAGAGCTGGGAGTACGTGTGTGTTCTATCACACGTAACATGGTTGAAAGTTTTTGTTTTGTTCTGCTTGCTTTGCTTTTGCGTTTTGGGCCCCGGTCGTCATTCTCCAAGTTTTCTCTTCCTCTCCTTCCCCCTCTCCCTCCCCTCGCTCCCCCTCCTTTTTCCTCTCCTTCCTACCGGGCTTCATTGTCAGAGAATATTATCTTCCGTCCCACTCAACCCTGAAGAGAACATTTTTTTCCCCTGCTTTATGCCAAGACTGGCCACAAGGTGGAGCCTGAGCCCCCTCTGCCGGCTCCCACACTGCCCAGCACCCAGCAGTGCCCACTCCTGCTGTCCTCCTCTCCCCTCCTGGCCTTCCCCTGGCCCGTCCTGCTGCCTCGTGTGCTTCTCTCTATTTCCCACCATTTCCCTCTGTTCGAGAGAGTTCAGCTCACACTTCCGGGCTGGAGCTTTTGCTCTGACTCTTCTGTCCTGCTGACCTGGCTGGGACAGGTAGGACAGTTTCTGTCCCGGACTCACATCCTTTGGGACTGTGTAGTGAATTTCTGAGAGACATAAAAATATCTCCCACTGAAATGTGAGGGGAGTGACAGACCAAAGAACGGCTGGGAGCAGTGCAGCTGGGCAGGTCGTGGAGTTGATTAGGGCTCACTCCAGAGCCCTGGACGGCTTGCTCTCCATTATACCGTGCAAGTTGCCAACCCCCTGTGCAAGGCTACTGCTTTGTAGGGTACTGATTAAAACAGCAAAAGTAAGATCAAAAGCAAGAAGGTGCTGTGGGGAAAGTTGGTGTATGCTCCACGCCCAGCCAGCCCTTACCAGGAAACCCCTGTCCTGCAATGAGAGCGATGACAAATGCCCTGTTGGGCTGCAGTCTGGCGCACGGTCTCGGCACCTGGACAAGAGGAGGGGTGTGGGTTGCACTAGGGGATGGCGTCACTGTGAAGGACAGTTCTCACAATGGGACCTCAGCTCCCATTCCAGCCAGGTTCCCTTGCAAGCAGGCCACCAGATCGTGAATCTCTCACTTCCGGTCTTTCCTTCCAGGGGGAGACACAAACCTAGGAATTTGTGCTACTCCCATTTCTCCCTCTTATGTGGGCAGAGAATCCCTAGAAGGTCCTTTTGGTGTAAGGCTCAGTTGCCATCAGTGGACATCTCCATAACATTGTTTGTCTCGCTTTATTCTCTCTTCTCTTTCACTCTGGGTTCTTCCTCTGGTCTCTCGATATGCTTCCCCAGTGACCCACCTCTTCCAGAATCCCGGGCCCAGGCTCTGCCCTCAGGGATAGTGGGCCACTCAAGCTGAGGCCATGAGGTCTCTACTCTTGTTGCCCATAGCCCTGTGCTGCCCTCTGTCCCTGTGCTGGTCCTAGCTCCACGTCCACCCACACTTTCACGTCTGTCCCTCCAGCCCACCAAGACCTCCTTGAGGTGGGCACTGGGGTGAACCCAGTGCAGGGCCTGGTCCTAACAAAATCACCAGTCCATTCTGGGGCCTAAGTGGTGGGTGACTGAGAAATGAATAAGGCCTCAGGAGTGGCTCTGTCTTCTCCATCTTCACCACTTTCTGCCCTGTGCTAAACTTATCTTGTTCATCTGCCCCATGTGCTCCTCTACTCTCCCATCTGGCTTCTGGGGCCAGTGTAGACCAGGACCCTCAGCTATCTTCAGGGCTCACCTGCCCTGGGCTAAGAAGAGCTCACGCACCAGTGGGGAGAACGCTACCCCAGAGCGGTGGGGCCAAGGGACCCAAGCTTTGGATGCCATAAGAAGAGGCAGAGAGAGGCTGGGCAGCAAATGGAAATCAGTTTGTATCTCAGTTTCCCTGCTTCTTGGCTCTTAGCTTCACCAGTCCTCTGTGCTACCTGGGAAAGGGGTGGCCTGAGGTTCCATCCTAGGTGACGATGACGATGAGAAGAAAGCATCAGAAACTGTTGACTCACTGGGTAGTGCTGGCATCAGCGATGAAAGGCCACAGATACAGTGCACAATTGTCATTTCTTTTCAGGGTTGAGCACCTTTTGTGTATGCCTATCCTGTCTCCCGAGGGCCCTCAGACGAGGAGCTGTGCACCTTGCGCAGGTGAGGAAGCTGGGGCAGAACGCATAGGACGATGCAGTTGTCACCCCTGCCCTGGCCTATGCCAGTCCTGTCTTTTACCGGAACGCTCGGGACCTGGGCTCATCTTCGCTGGTTTCCCTACTGCTGTGTTGGTGGCCGTGGGGCAATTGGAGAGTGGTGATTTTGAGGGACGACAGGAGCATACGATTCTCTAAGATGTAAAAGGTTAAGTCCAGGCATGTTGGCAGGAGCCTGTAATCCCTGCACTCTAGAGGCTGAGGTAGGAGGATCACAATTTGTGTTCCAGCTCAGGCTGGGCAATTTGGCAACTTGGTGAGATCCCGTCTCAAAATTGTATATTAAAATACAATTAATTGTAAAGGCGGGAGGGTTCGGGATGTAGCTCAGGGGGAATCACTGGGCTGATTCAGCGCCAACCAGGGGGTAGGGGTGGGAGTGGGGGTAAATTTGGCACCACCCTCCCCCAGGCCTCTCCCTCCTCCTGAGGCCCAGGAGGGCAGGGGTGGGGGCCGTGTAACATCAGCAGGGTCTCCGCACCCCTGTGTGCCGCAGCGCCCGCCCTGGCCAGTGGAGCCCACATGGGGCCCAAGGTGCAGAGGTCGGGAAGAAGCTCCGGGAGGGCCCAGATTCCGGCCCGCTGGCTCCGCCCGGCCCTGCAGCCCAGGGAAGGTGAGGCCGGGGGAAAATAACATCCAAGATGTATCATGTAAAGGTACAAGATCTCAATGATGAATGGAACTGTATTTTATACCTAAAATGATTCAATAAAGAAAGAAAATGAAAATTTAAATGTTTTAAAAAATGGTCTTAAAATGTTTATTTTTCCCTAAATGTTATGCAAGGTAGGTTCTACTTTGTCAGCAAGGTAGTTTACAATGTCTTCTTTTTTATTTCTATAGAAATTTAATTGCCCCATTTTATTGTTACCCCACAAATAGGCAGAATAATAGTTCAACATATAAAACCTTGAAAGTGGAGATAGTAGACATTATTTATTGTCTTTAATTATTAAGCCGGAGGGCGGGACAGTGGACAGTTCCACACTGCCGCGCTGCGATGGGTCCGCTACGTCTGGGCGCGTCCAGAATGCTGCTGCTCTTCCTGCCGCTCCTGCTGCTGGGGTCTGGACCGGCAGCCGGCGCCGGTGAGTGCCCCTCTCTGGGGACCTGAGCCCCGGGCCCTCCACGGGGGACTCCCGTGCCCCAGCCTCGCCTCTCTGCTAGTGCACAGCCTCTCATCCTTTCCTGGCACCCAGAAGCCCGGTACCTCGTCCTCTCCAGGCCCTGCCACCCAGTCACCCCACGCGGGGACTCAGCCTGCCAGCGTTACCCCCTATTCCTTGTAACCCTCTCGAGCAACCCAGAGTCCCTTGCGCTCCTCCAGCTCTCTGGCTTCCTATCTGTGTGGTCTCAGCAGAACCACCAGGCAGACCACAGGGGCTGGGAGAAACAGAGACAGAGCAGCTGAGCCCCGTATCCTCCGGACCTCTCCTTGGTCCCCCAAGGTGACCGCCCATTCCTGGAGTGCATAGACAATCAGGGAATATACGGGCACCCGGCACAGGAGCAGCCCCAGCCTCCCCTGGCTTTCAGGTGCCTGGTACAAGGATCATGCCACCGACCCAACAGAGATGCTCCCAGGGGAGCACCTGTGTGTACGGGCCGCCGGGGCACCTGGGACAGCCCCAAGGCAGATTCAGACGCACACTGGACTCATGCAGGTGCAGAAGTGTGCAGCCATTGGTGCCCGGGGCAGACAGCAAACAGACCTGGCCTGACCCACCCCGCCTGTGTTGGCACAAAGGGAGTGTTTTCTTTGGTTCCAAACCCAGCATGGGTGTTCACCCTGTGCCTGACCGCCTGCTGGGCTGTTCCTAGGCACCAAGATAGCAGAAGTGGTCAGGTCCAGGTTGGGGACAACTGCAGGTCCACAGTGTCAGGGTGCGGTGCTGGGAACTTGCCCGGTGCGCCCAGGTGTGTGTTCCGCGGGGCTCAGTGGATCTGGAGGTCACAGACCTTAGCAAGTGTGCCAGAGCCGCCTGAGCCAGAGGTCTCGTGTGTGACGGGTGTAACTGTGGGGACAGTGCCTGATTCCCACTGAGGAGAGAGGATGCAAGGAGGTAAGGGTGACCCCTCACTGTGTGCTGGGGTGCAACAGGGCCTCAGAGAGGTGCCCACGTCCCATGGGAGCTATGGAAGGTTTGAGGCAGATACGTGGTCTGCTGGAAGAGTGAGGGCCAGTCGTGCAGAGAGGAAGGTGAATTTTTGAACTCTAAACTCCTTTTTACACTTTCTTCTTGACACATCTATAACCCCTTACCCTCCCCACACACTAATATGCTACTTTTTCCACTGAGGGGAAAAAAAATTGGGTTTATATTTGGTCCAGCCAGGTTCCTCAAGAAAACCAGTTCTAACCAAGAGATGAAAGAGCCAGTCATGGTGGTGCTCACCTGTAATCCCAGCACTCTGGAAGGCTGAGGCAGGAAGATCACAAGTTTGAAACCAACCTGGGCAATCTCATGACTTAGCAGGGCCATGTTGTGAAATTAAAAAGGGGAGGGGTAGGGATGTAGCTCAGTGCAAAGTCTCTGGCTTTAACCCCCTTTGCCTCAAAAAGAGGTTGGGGAGAGGGGTATGAAAGAGATGTCATGGCTAAATGCCAGGCCACTATTATCCTCAGTCCCCGGAGCTGCGGGGAGGCCAATTTCTGGGCCTGCATCTTGTCTGCTGCTAATGCCTCTTGGCCCTGTTACCCAGCAGGCCTCCTGTTTCCGGACTGTTACTGGGCAAGGAAGAAGGAAGGAGCGCTGGTCTGTGAGGTAGAAGCCTGGGTTGGAGCCTCAGCTCAGGTGCTTGTGGGCTGTGGAGCCTCCTCTTTCTCAGTGTCAGCTGCAGAAGCCCCAGTCGTATCTGCTGGGTGCTGCTGTGCGTCAGAGCTGTGCCAAGATCTAGAGAGATGGTGGGTCCAAGCTGGGGACGTCCCTGACTGGGAGGAAGTGTTTCTCGGGCAGGGCCCCTGAGCCAGAGTGTGGGGGAGAGGGCCGGGGCGCAGGGACTGGGCATTCATTCTCCAGAGGCTCCTGCCTTGATGATGGGAGCACTGTTCAGCTCTGATGCCCAGGTGCTCAGCCCAGGCAGCTGGGCAAATGCTTGATGCGCGATTTGCAGTCTGCCTGTGTCTGGACTTGATGAAGCAAGGGATCACAAAGCAGGTGCAAAGGCCCAGGGATATAATTGCTCGTGCCGTTTGCTCCGTGGCTCATTTTCCCTGCCTGGAGCATAGTAATTGTAACAGCTAGAGCTTGTTCTGTGCCAGGTGCTCTGCGTGCTTTATCCCCTTTGTTCTGTGAGCTAAGATTACCTTATCCTCCAACCGTAAACGAGGAGACTGAGGCATGAAGAGGTTCATAATCTGTCCAAGGCCACACAGGAAGTGAGATTTGAACCCAGTCGGGCTATAATACTGCCCCTTCTCAGGCTACTGCCCTTCCCTCAGGCCAGGGGTGTCCTGACCTGCAGGCTCTCACCTTTATCTTTCAGCAGCCAGAAGGTCACGTGTGTACCCACGTGGGATAAAGGAGTTGGCGGACACCGTGGCTTGCGTGGGACCCCGACCTCCCATAGTCTATGCACGGTATGGCTGTTTCTGTGGCCTGGGAGGCCGTGGGCAGCCCCGGGACAGCATCGACTGGTGAGTGTACACGCGGGCCCAGGCTGGAAGCCCCACCCAACCCCTGGAGTAGTTAGAGCTCTTGAGGAAGTAGGCAAAGCTGCAATTGGGCTTTGGCCCGGAAAGATGCCACATGCTGCGGAATGTGTCGTCCTGCAGGCAGAGGGCCTCCTGGGTTATGTCAGGGAAGGTGTGTCCCCCGATGAGATTCTTGAGGTAGCAGAAAAGCAGTTCGTGACATGGCAGGGATTTCTTGGCAGAGTTAGAAAGTGATAAGAAAGGGAAAGGGGATTCAGGGACGCCACTCCCGTGGAGGTGACCGCACCATCCCATTAACAAAGGAATGAGCCGTTTTTTGTTTTTTGTTTTTTTCCAGAGAGGCTGAGCTGGGCAAGGGTCTGTCTGCCTGATCCTTCTCTCAGCTCTGGTTTTGCAGAATGGCCCTCAAGAAGTCCTTGTCGCTTGAGGGGCCGTGAGGCTACTTGAAGGCTCAGTTTTTGTTTTTTTGTTTTTTTGTTTTTTGTTTTTCATATTGGGGATTAAACTCAGGTCCTTGTGCTTGTGAGGCAGTTGCCAGAACCAGTGAGCTAAATCCCCAGCCTAAGGAAGTCTCAGTTTTATTTTGTTTTATTTTTGGTACCAGAGATCAAACTCGGGACCTTGCACTTTCAAGGCAAGCGGCGGCAACACTGAGCTAAGTCTCCAGCCCAGGAAGTCTCAGTTTTATAGGGGCCCTGCTGGGACACAAGGTGACAGTGTGTTCAGGGCACTGACAAGACTCTGGGCCCCCACTGGAAGTTCAGCGTCGCTGTGTAAATCTCTTATCATGGTGTCATCGGTCTTGAAGTGAGATGAGATAGGTTATGTAAATTTGGGCTAATCCAACTTGTAGTATCAGTTTTTAGACAGATGCTTTCTGGATGATTAACATGCCTAGATCCAGAGCTCAGCAGGAATCTGAACCGAACTTTTAAGGTTAGAAAAAAGTCCTACAAAATGAAGGTCAAGCTTTCTTCTGCTTTTAGTTACCCACTGGGCATCTTCAGAGTCACTGTTTTTGGCTTTGTTGCACTTGTTTGCTTTGTTTTTAGCAAAAGCAGCTTTCAAGTCATATTTGAAAGAGGTACAGATGAAGGGCCCAGGAGTTTTTGGTCCTCTGTCCCTCTGGGAATCATTTCTGTCTCAGACGCATCCTTTTTTTGAACCCAGGGCCTTCACCCGGAGCTACATCCCCACCCAATTTTATTTTTTGTTTTGGAACAGTCTTTTCAAGTCGCTGATTTGCCAGTGCTGGGCTCTGACTTGTGATGCTCCTGCCTTAGCTCCCTCAGTGTTGAGACTACCGGAGTCGCCCCACACAGCCAGCAGCCTCAGTCCCTGCCCGTGGGCTTTTATGCTGCCTGAAAAATAGCACAAAGATAGCCAAACTTACTGTGCACTGGGAGCTGCTCTGAGGCTCCCTGCAGGTAACCCATTCCATAGACAGGGAGACTGAGGTACAGAGATACGCAGTCACTTCTCTGGGCTGCACAGAGTACAAGGCGTGGGAGCTGGGATTTGAACCCAGGTGATCTGGCTGGATTCACATCCTCACCCTCTGCTGCAAGTGAGCAGGGCCTGCTGTGTGCAGAGCTGTGGCCTGGAAATCACTGCGTGACTTTGTCATGGGCCCTTGTGTCCCCGCTTGAGGAGAAGGATGCGGTGTTCCTCCCCGTTTTACAGATACAGGCTCTGAGGCTCCACGCGGTGAAGCCATTTGCCGGTTTGCACAAAGCCAGTAAATGACACAGTGTGGAATCTGGCTGCCTCTTCCCTCACGGGAGGCTGTGTCATGGGTCTTTGCTTTAGTGGTCGTGGAAGTTAAAACTAAAGCACAAATTCGCAGGAAAAAAGCTTTAATTGAAGGGTAAGAGAAGATGAGGAAAGGACTCCGGCTTGGGAAGCTGGAGAGGGTGAGCTGTGGTGAAGAGGTTCAGACTGGACTGTGGCCCAAGGAACCAGTTTTATGGAATGGCTCTAGTGGGCTGTGTCTGATCGGCCAGAATCTCAGTCCTCGTAGCTCAGCTTGAACCCTTGTCACTTGCGGGGTAATTCCAGTCTTTGAAGCTCTGTGGGAATCTAAATGACCATAGGTTTAGGGCACTAGAGATCTGGGCATAACTGGATGTCCCTGCCAGTCCCTCCTCAGGTGTCCTCAGTCCTGCAGTCCTGAGATAGGGCAGGTAAATTTAGAGCTAAGAAACCTGTTCCACCAACTTTTAGATAGACACTCCCTGAATGGCTAAGATGCTATACACGGAACAGAGAGGGATTCAACCCAGAGTTTTGCAAAAGGAAGATCAAGCTTTGTTCTACTATAAGTTACCCTTTGGGCATTTGTGTGCTCAACTGAAGCATCTTGGCTTTTAGCAAGAGCCACCTTTAAGTCACTGATGGCCTTCGGAGGAGATGCACACCATGCTCTTGATGAACGACAGGTTAAGGCCAAGGGAGTTCATTTGTTCATCATCCCTGCAGTACTGTCTGGCTTCCTCTGACCATCTCAGCTAAGATTGTCCCCGGGAGGTGTTGACTAAGCCCTGAGCCGTGCAGGCTCCTGCCCCCTCGCCACGCATGCACTCCGGCACGCTGGGTGTCTGCTCATCCTTCAGAGCCGCTCAGGCGTCACTGCCCCCAGGAAGTCTTCTGCAAAGCCTGCTTGGCTCTGCCACCTCCTGTGGGCTCCTGCAGTCCCTCTGCTTTCCCTGCATCCCCTCACTTCCCACCACTCGTGTGTTCTCCTGCCTCGTTCCTTCCCCAGGCTGGGGACTTCCTGAAGTCAGGGCAAGAGCTGATTGACCGCTCTGCCACCCGCCACGGAGGGCTTAGGAATGGGACTGGTGGCAGATGGGGAGAATCTCAGGGAATGAATGAAAAGAATGACCGGTAGGCCTGTTCCTTGGGGGCTCTTTCAACAGTAAATGTTTATTGAGGCCCTGTTAAGGGTCAGGACCTGGGCTGGGCAGGTCATCCAGAAGGTCAGATGCTAATGAGGTTTGTCCGGAGGACTCATTACAAACCTGCCCTGAGGGAGAAGCCTGCTTCAGGAGGAGGTGTAACCAGGAGGCTGTCACCCCAGGGAGGCGGGAAGAGGGCTGGATGACACAAGTCGCTGGGGCACAAGTTGTCCCAAGCAGAGGGTCCCACACAGATGGAATCAGAGCTCGAGAGGCGTGGCTCCCTCAGGAACACAAGAGCCCTGGTGGCCACAGCTCAGACTCAGTGAGCACACAGGGGCAGGGCCACGGCCACATCAGGGAAGGTGTGCAGGGCACACAGAGCAGGGTTGTGATCATCAGGTCCGAAGCTGTGAGCAGGGGACGCAGGCTCCCTGGAGGCCTTTACTCCCCAGAGTCCCAGCAAGCGAGGACCCACGAGAGAGCCCTTCATCCACTCACCTGTCCCGTGACCCCCCCAGGTGCTGCTACCACCATGACTGCTGCTACGCTCGTGCCGAGGAGGCTGGCTGCAGCCCCAAGATGGGCAGCTACCCCTGGAAGTGTGTGGATCACCAGGTCCAGTGCGGTGAGTCCCCAGAGCTGTGGGTGTCAACCTCCCCAGCATCCCCGGAGGTGTCCCAGAAGAGCCTGGTGACACCTGTGCTCTCACTGTAGTGACATGCCGCAGACCAGCCTTTGGGTTTACCTAGATGATCTTCCACACTGAGCCCTTGAAATATGCCCCCCCACACCTGTTTCTTTGGGGTCTGGATATAAAAAAGGAAATGCTATGACCCCATGTATAAACAGCCTAAAAAGTCCATCAGAAAGGGGCCTGAGTCAATAAACCCATGATTTGTCCACACTGTGGAATACTCTACAGGCCTGACAAAGGCTGACGTAGAACTATGTGCTTGCACGAGAGGAAAGATGTGAATGAAAAACTGCAGGCAGGTGCAGAGGATCACACTTATAATCCCAGATCTTTGGGAGGCTAAGGCAGCCAGATCACAAATGTGAGGCCAGATGGCAACTTAATGTCAATATAAAAAAATTTTTAAATAAGGGCTAAGGATACAGGTTAGCAGTACAGCATGTGCCAGAATGCACGAAGTCCTGGGTTCAACCCCCAGCATAGCAGAATAGCTTTGCCATACACCATTATTTGTGTTTAAAAAATACAAGAAACTTGCACAGTGGCGCTCTACTATTTAATGTCAGCATACAGAAAGCTCAGAAAGGCAGGTGTGGGGGTAAGCAGATATGATCACAGCACTCAGGAAGATGAGGCCGGAGGATCACTGTAAGTTTGAGGCCATCCTGGGCTACACAGTGAGTTCAAGGCCAGCCTACATGGCAAGACCCCCATCTTAATAAACAAACAAAAAGAAAAAGGAGAGAAAGCTCAGAAAAAGCTGTGCAAGGATTTACTCCAAACTGAAGCTGGTCTTAATTGTAAATAGGGACCGGATGGGGTTAAGGGGAGCAGAAATAGAAGGCCGTTTCGTGACCTCTGTAGGTTTCTGTTTTGCAAAGAAAATGCCCTCATCAATTACTTGTAAATTAAAAGTTAGAAAAGGACAACACAGCCTGAAGTGCTCAAGGGCGACATGTACTGATTCTGTAACTGACTTTGAGATGTTTCCAGACAACACGAAACGCACCTGGGTGGGTGGACGGATGTGTGGAGGGATGGACAGATGGGTGGGTAACTGCTGAAATGGAAAGATGAACGGTAGACTCTCCATGGCAGATGCACAGATGTTCTCTGACAGCTCCTCCAGCCCTCTGTATGTTTGAAAAGTTCACAGTACAATTTTAGAGAGAGAAAGAGAGGGAGAATGGTGGGTGGCCCTGGGCCACTTGCTGTCCCTCCCCCCCAGCCCCCATATGGGGTCCTCTCGCCAGTGGGGGCTGGGGGGTCCTTGGCACGGTGCAGGACCCTCCTGGGCTGTGGCTCTGAGGCTCCAGCCCCAAATGCCCTGTGCTGGGAGGCCCAGAGTCCTCAGCTGGGCCCAGCCTCATGGGCTGGGGGTGGGGGTGGACTCGGACCAAGCCCGAGCCCTGAGTGTTTGTTCCACTGGTTTTCTTCCCTAGGGCTGGGCCTGGTCAGATTCACTGGAGCTCCCTACCACTTAGACACCAGGAAATCCCTTTCCCTTCCCTGAACACTGTGCCCTCGTTGATTAAAAATGGGACAATCATAATGAAATACCCTTGGCCACCTGCAGATGTTTTTCTTTGCTTACCCAGTGTTGAGAAAAGCAGTTCCATCCAGTATTTTTTCAAAACTCAAACTGGTGCAGGCCTGTAATCCTGGCTACAGTAGGAGACTGAGGCAGGAGAATCACAAGTTCAAGGCCAAGTTCTCCCAGCTTAGGAAGGTCCAGTCTCAACGTAAAATATAAGGGCTAATGGGTAGCTCAGTGATAAAGCTATTGCTTAGTGTGCTTGAGGCTCTGCACCTCACAAATCAGCTAATTAATTACTTAGATAAAATAAAAGCATCTCACATCAAAATTTGAATTTCTGAGTATTGAATATTAAAAATCGGAGGCCCGCAAAGCAGCAGATCCAGTAGGGACCACTGGTTGGAGTTTGGAGGAGCTGCCACCCCTAAGCAGGGCCTGTCTTTCCCACGTACCTCAGTCCCCACCTTGCCTTGCTGTCTGTGTGACACGGAGGCCGGGTGTGAATGGTGTGAATGACCACATTTCCCTTGTGCTGTTGATTTGTTGTGAAAGGGAAATTGTT